CTTGAACTTCCCACAGGGCAGGAAACCCTGACTGCTCTTAGGGATGGAGAGGGAGGAGGAGAGGGAGGGAGGAGTTGGAGGGTGTTGGTTGGAGGGGCGGGAATGGAAACTTTTATAATTTAATAAAATTATTTTCTCATAAAAAATAAATAAATGGATTCTAGCCATAAAAAAAGACCCAGCAATACTGTTGTTGGGGATTTACCCAAAGGTTGCTCAAGCATTGCTCAAGAACATGTGATCAACTGTCTTTAAAGCAGCACTTTCATAATAACCAGATCATGGAAACAACCTAGCTCCCCCTGAACTGAAGAATGGATAAAGAAGATGTGTTACATTTACACAATGGAGTACTGAACAACAGTAAAAAATAATGACATCTTGAAATTTGCAGACAAATGGGTAGATCTAGAAAAAGTCCTATTGAGTGAGGTAAACCAGGCCCAGAAAGACAAACATAATATGTACTCACTAAATAAGTAGATTTTAGACAGAAAGCAAAGAAAAACCAGCCTACAGTTCACAACCCCAGAGAACCTAGACAACAAAGGGGACCACCAAGAAAGACAAACAAGGATCTGTATAAGAAGGAAAAAAAGGCAAGATCTCCTGAATAACTTGGAGGACACCAGAAGACCAAAAACTTCTGAATCAACTAAACAAGTACATATAAGCTCATAGGGTCTGAAAAAGCAATCACATGGTCTACAGTGGTCAGGAACAAGTTCTCTTCATATATATTATAACTATTAGTTTAGTATATTATGGTACTCCTCACTGTAAAAGCAAGTGGAGTTGTGATTCTTGAGACTGTGCTTCATACTCTTTACCTACTGTTGATTTTCCATGTCCAACTTCAATATGAAAGTTTTATCTTATTCTTGCCATGTCTAATTATTATTTCTTAGAAGTCTTTTCTTTTCTAATGAAAGACAGAAAAGGAGTAGATCTTTCAGGAAAGGGAAGTAGGAAAGAATGGGAGGAGAAAAGGAAGGAGAAATTGTAATCTTGATATATTGTATAATAAGAGAACCTATCTTCAATAAAAGAAAAATATCTTTACATATAATATGTAATCTAATATATATATATAATATTTATAGTAGTAAGTTTCCATATGATTTGTCAAAAAGCCTTTAGTATAGGTTGTCACTCCCCTTATTCTCTCCTTTATTCAGCACACCATCTCCTCCTCGACTTAATCTTCCTATTCTATTTTTCTTTTATCTCTTTATAAAACTATATCTTGTTTTCTGTTTTATAAGAGTGTATTCTCCTGCCTGATCCCTTTTTAATTACCTACTCTCTGTGGTTATACAGATGAAGCACACATATGCAAAGCTTAAAGTCAAACATTCACATATACGAAAAAATATATGTTGGTTATCCTTTGGTTCTAGGTTACTTTGCTCAGGATGATAGCTTCTAACTCCATCCATTTACTTACAAATTTCATTTTTCTTTACAGTTGAATAATACTACATTGTATACTATATTGTATAAATGTGTCATGTTTTCATTATCTACTCATCAGCTAATTAGGCTGTTTCCCATTCCTGGCTATTATGAATTGTACAGCAGTGACCATGGATAAGCAACATCTCTTTAGTAAGATGTAGAATTCACTGAGTATATACCCATGACTGTATCATGAAGTAGATTGATTTTCAGCTTAATAAAGAGGAGAAAATATCTGCAAACTAATTATCTTACTAGGAATGCTATCCCAAATATATGATGAACTCATCTCAATTTCAAGGAAATAACCTAATTGTGAAAGGGAGAAGACTTTGAATACATGTTTTCAAAACATAATTTAAATGTCCTAAAGATATATAAAAATAGTTGGCCCATTCCTCATCAGAAAAAAAATGTAAACTAAAACATTATTGAGAGTGGATTTCATCAAAACCAGAATAGATAAGCCATATTGTCAATGATAGCTCTTCAATATTTATTGTAGCATTATTCTTAGTTATTTAAGGTACATATTACTGCAAATGTCTAGAAAAGAATGAAGCTTTAAAAACCATGTGCTATGATATGCAATTAAATATGTTATTCAATATTGAAAAGAATAAAATCTGCCATTTGGAACAAAATTTTTAATTTTGAAGATATGTTAGCTGAAATTAAAAATTAAAGGCAAAGATTAACAAATAATTCAAGATCTCATTTATAATCAGAATCAAAAATATGTGAACTCAAAGAAGATGGCAGAATTTTTTTTTGCTTTCATTGAAAATAGATTTAATCTCATACAATATACCCTGATTATTATTTCTCCCCCCTCAACAAATCCCACTCTTTCACCTTTACTCTTCTCTCTGTATTCAATCCCTTTCTTACTATTATTAGAAAACAATAGGCTTTTAAAAGATAGCTAAGCATGACAAAATAAAATATAATAAAATGAAGCAAAAATGATCATATTAAAGTTATAATGCTTAAGCAGAGACAGAAAGGATTAAAGAGATGTTGGTCATCAATACAAACTTTGAGTGAGATAGAATGAGTTCAGAGCTTATCTACAATTCATAGCATTGTATCATATTTTGAAAACCCTTTGTATCAACAAAAAAATCAAAAGAACCTGGCTGTCCACAGGTTCTTGGTCCTGACAATAATGCCTTTATGACTTTTATCATGTGGACCAGGCCATGAATCAAATAGAGAAATATTATAGAAAATGGGGTAGGAAAAAACAGAGACAATGGACTACAATATGTTGTTTTTCAGAAACAACAGGGAAGTTGCACATATGAATACACTTCACTGCAGGTAGAACAGCCTGCACATGTCATCCAACATCTCAAGCCAGACTAAATACCATCATGGAAAGGGAGGGTGGGCATAAGGTCACATCTCTAACAGAAGCACTGGTGCCAAATGATAGGTTCTGGGAGAGTGGTATGATTCCTTGTAGGCAAACATTATTCCAGAAATTCCCACACACTCAAAAATATATAGAGAGCACAAATTAGACTACGTGAGTTTAAAACAGAGATGAGGACAGTAAAGATGAATAGGAATAGAAAGAGAGAGCATCTGAGGAATATTGAGAAGGTGGTAATATGACTTGAAAACTTTAGATAAATTCTAAAAATTAATTTTTAAAAGTAAAAGATGATAGATAGATAGATAGATAGATAGATAGATAGATAGATAGATAGAT